GAGCCTGGTCCATCCTCTGCCCCCTCCCTGCAGACCCCACAGACCTGGGGGAGGTCCCCTCTCAGTGTGTGCTCTGGAGGCTGAACAGCCCCAGCTCCCTCAGCCTTTCCTGCTCCCAGAGATGCTCCAGCCCTTTGGAATCTCCGCAGGAGAATCATCTTCCAGCAGCTCCCTGTCCCTGCTGTGCTGGTGTGAGGTCATCCCTATTGCAGCCACGAACCTCACTGATGTTCCCAATGTCCAGATCCATTCTTCACTCATGAGATCATGTTTCAGCAGCAGTAATCTGTACTCTGTGACTTCCTCCCACCAAATGGTGTAAGTTTGCATTTAAAACTCTGCATCAGGTGTGTCAACTCATTCCAGTGTCTGTTTTTCCCCATAAGGATCTAATTTGCATTAGGGAGATAAATGGAAAATTCAAATACTCAGGAAGTGTTTCTTTCTCCTCTTTTCTAAATCCATTTTTTTGTGGTTGTATCTTCAGACCTTTAAACTCAAGACTTATATTACAGAGAGAGAATTGGTTTCCAGGTGGTGGTGTGAGGCTCAAAGCAGTGCAGGTGTGTGGCCAAGAGGGGTTAACTGGGTGATGGATGCACAACTGAGCAGTTAAATCACAGCAAGACTCCATCTGATGACAGTGGAAACTTTATGGGGAGTTAGGAGGAAACACACACTGCAGCAAAGCTGAGGGCTCTTCTGCTTCCCTGATTCTCCTCTTCACACATGTACCAGATGAGTTCTCTTTCTTGTCCTTATATAGTTGTCTTCTGCCAAACTGTATTTTCAGTTAAAAAAAAAACAAAAAAAGAGTCAGAACTATTTATGGTGTCTGAATTGTTACGGGGAATAATTAACATTAAAGATAATAGTAACTTCCCCTTAGCAGAAAATATGTGTGTACCTGAGCGACAAAAAGTACTAAAACATTCCTGGAGTTTATCCATTAAGATACTTGTTTAAAAATAACTTACCAAGACGGTTTTGGAAGTCAGTGAAACAGGTAATAACGTTGCATATGGAGGCCAGAAGGTCTGGGCACGACCAGCTACGTACACTCAGTTTATTCCAAACCCACTGAACTGTCTTTTTTCCCACTCTGTTATTATTTTGGGGAGTATCTTCATTTATCTACAGTCCAAAGGGCACTTTTCCTTCCTTTTGCCAACAGGGACTGGTATTATCTGTTCAAAAACAAGGTGATTGCCTTGTGAAGGGTGGTAAAACCAGAATTTTGGAGATATAATCGTGTTGACTTGTCCAGCTTTCACAGGGAACTCTAACACAAAGGCGAAATAAATCCTGAGGGCAGACAGGGAGTGGGGAAGTAGAAGGGCTGAGGCTGAGACATAAACACCTCTGTGAACTCAAGGAGGGGAATTTTATGGACAGTTTGGAAATCTCCAGCAATAAATAAGCAGCGTGGTTTGTCCTTTCAGAATATGAAATCGAGAGATCGTTTTTCCTGAGGATGAAGTGTGTCCTTGCCAAGAGGAATGCAGGATTGACATGCAGTGGATACAAGGTAATGTACACCAACTTTTTGTCCCACCCTTCGACTGTTCAACAATTGACAAGTTTATTTATTTAGGTGGGGTGGTTTTTCTTTTTTTACACACGTGCAGCTGAGAGCAGAATCTGTGATGAAAAGAATCAGTAGAGGTCCAAAGAATGCCACTCCTGATCGCAGATCCCCTTAGTATTGCAAGTCTAAACTCACAGTGAGATGCAGTTTCCTTTGTGGCACATTCCCACACCTTGATCCCTGCCCTTCCAAGCTGAGTGAATTAACCGGAGCCCAGCCACGGAGCTGCAAGGAGGGCACACAGCTGGCTCTTATTCCCCTGTGGAACTGGAGGCAGGTGAGGCAGGAACCCAGACACAGGAATTTGGAATTTTTCCACCTCCCTCAGCCTCTGGCTGAGCAGCCACCCAGTTGCACAGGTCACCTCGTTGGCCTCCAGGTGAATGTTATTCCAACCAACCATTGCCATCACCCCGAGGCTGAACGGTACTAAACCACTGTTTATAAATCTCGCTGTTTGTATTATTGTTTTCTCTTTATGACATGAAATCAGGAGCCCCCAGCAAGTGCCGAGGCTTTAGGGAAGCAGCTGCCACTCAGGTAGTTTTTATTTTCAGCTTTGCAGGGGGTATTTGCTGCTCTTTGAGCCACACAGAATAATTCTGTCCCCACCAGGCAGGGTGGTTCACAGACAGCCTGGTGAGCATTCCTTTTTGTTTGAGTTATTCAAAACCCCAAAAGAAAAGCTTGCAGGAGAAGCAGAGCTCCTTAAAGGAATGTGTTCAAAGTGCAGCCGTGTATCTGTTTATTTGCCTACCTGGTTGGACTGATAATTCTTCATTACACGAGCCCTGTTTGCTCAGCTGCTTCCCAGCAAAAATGATCCTGTCCCAGAGCTGAATGTGAAATCAGGTAAAAGAGCAGAGCTTGTACTGGTGGTATCTCTGTGTTTTAATTCCCATTTATGACTTCTAGTCAGAGACATCGCCTTCTTTTGCTCTCCATTAAAAGTTTGCACAGTGACACATTTAAGGATTCATTTATCTGGAGAGTTGTTGGCCTAAATTTATTCCCTTTGACTGTTCTTAGAGTCAGGACTTAATTTTTTAAAAAAATCACTTTATTAGGTGAAGCACAGGAAAAACTCTTGGACTGAGTGATTTGGGAATTCAGATCTACTGAGAGATCTTAAAGAAGGTTTTCCTGTTACTTATACTTTTGCTAAATATATTAATCACTCAGTGACTGGAGAGGAGGAAGGAAGGTTATACAGGAGGAGCCTGTTTACAAGTTTAGTGGGTTGTTCAGGAATAATAAATACAGTGAAAATTAATTTCTTTCCACTGGACACAGGTAAAAGTCAAACAAATAGATAAATTAAGCTAAAGGATCTGTGTGTGCCTGATGCTTGCAGTAGAAAATTCCCAGGAGCACCCATGACTTCCAAACACCAGCACTGCATTAACTAAATCTTATGTTCTGGAATAGTCCCCAGGTTACATTTCCCCCTCCTCTTTAGCTGACATTGTGAATTTTTACAGCCTAACACCGACATTATCACCTCTGTGATTAGGAATTGTATGCAGGGATCCTGAAATCTGATCTCAGGGCTCGGGCGTGTGTCACAAAATATCATCTGGACTTGACCGGAGAAGTTAAAACTCATTTCTTGTTCATTTACACAAACAGCAATTAAGCCTTATAAATGGGATGAATTAGTATCCACTGGATTTTTAAAATGTCTGCTTTTCATGAGAATAACTTCTCAGAATGTAAATATTTTTATACACCTCTCTGTGTGCGAGGGAGATGGCCATTTCAAAAAAAGCAGCTTCCAGATTTTTTTATCAATGAACAGGAGTTCTATCTGTATCTACAAGAAAGCAATTAGATAGTCCCCAAAGAGCATGTGCTTTAATCCTGGATTAATCATGTGGGCAGTAAGCAACAGATTTTGTGTTTATTGTG